CAGTGTATTAATTTAATATATATACCTGAATATTAATATGAAAGCAATTTGCCATTAACTGCCAGTGGCCTCATTTGTTACACTCAGCCCTAGAGGGCCTCGAACCTCTGACTAGTCTTACACGGTCTGCAACATTGTATGTAACAGTGGAATACTATCAGCACCAGAATATTGAATGTTGAAACATCATCAAGAGCAGCACAGTATTGTAAAATATAGTGCCAGAAGATGAGCTCCTCTGGTTGGAAGTCATTCAAAGTACTACTAGGGAAGAGCTGACTTTTCAAAGTAGAGTTGACCGTGATGATGTGAATGGAGTAAAGCCTTGGGGACCTTCATTTGCTGATGGGGCACAACTCAAAATAAGGAAAAACAGCTGTAAACTTCCATTAATATCAGAACATGGAATGTATGAAGTATAAATCTAGGAAAATTGGAAGATATAAAAAATGATGGTTTACTATGCTAAGAAAGACAAATTGAAGAGGAATGGCATAACATCTTCAAAAAGAACTTATCAAGATCTGTCTTGAAGTAAAATGCTGTCTGTTATAGAATTATATCCATATGCCTAAAGGAAGACCAGTGAACACCGCTATTATTCAAACTCACGCACCAATGACTAAAGCTAGTGATGATGAAATGGAAGAATTCTACCAACTTCTTCAGTCTGAAATTGATTAAATATGCAGTCAGGAAGTATTGATAATTATTGGCCATTGGAATGCAAAGGTTAAAAACAAAGAGAAGAATCAATAGTCAGAAAATCATGGCTTTGGTGATAGAAATGATGCTGGAGATTGCATGTAGAATTTTGCAAGACCAGTGACTGTTTCATTGCAGATACATTTTTTAAGCAACATAAAACATGACTACACACATGGAAGTAGCCACAGGGAATACACAGAAAATCAAATTCACTACATTTGTGGGAGGAGAATGTGGGAAAACGCCATATCATCAACCAAAACAAGATTGGGGCAGACTGTGGAACAGATCATCATTTGCTTACATGCAAGTTCAGGCAGAAGCTTAAGAAAACTAAAACAAGTCCACAAGAGCCAAAATAGGACCTTGAATATATGTTACACCTGAATTTAGAGATCATTTGAAGAATAGGTTTGATGTATTAGACACTAAAAACCGTAGACCAGAAGAGTTGTAGGATGACATCAAGAACATCATACAGGAAAAAAGCAAATGGTCATTAAGAAGACAAAAAAGAAGGAAAAGACCAAAACAGATATCAGAAGAGACTCTGAAACTTGCTCTCCGGTGTAAAGATGGAAAAGGAAGAAGTAAGACGGTACAATAGCTGAATAGAAAAATTTCAAAGGGAAGCTTAAAAAGACAAAGTCAAACATTATAACTAAATGTGTAAAGACCTGGAGTTAGAAAACCAAAAGGCACGAACACACTCTGCATTCATCAAGCAGAGAGAATTGAAGAAAAAATTCAGGCCTCAGCTTGAAATATTGAAGGATTCTGTGGGTAAAATATTGAATGATGCAGAAAGCATCAAAATAAGATGGAAGGAATACACAGATTCACTGTACTACAAAGGGATGGTTCATGTTCAACCATTTCCTGAGGTAGCATATGATCAGGAGCCAATGATATTGACTTCTTTGTCCAAGGTGCACTGAAGGCATTGGCAAAGAACAAGGCTCCAGGAATTGATGGAATTCAAATGGAAATCTTTCAACAAACTGATGTGGCACTGGAGACACTCACTCATCTATGCCAAGAAATTTGGAAGAGATCCATTTTTGTGCCCATTCCAAAGAGAGGTGACACAACAAATCCAGAAATCATCAGACAGTATCATTAAAATCCCATTCAAGGAAAATTTCACTAAAAGTAATTAAAAACATCTGAAACCATACATTGAATTGAATTTCCAGAGGTTTGAGTTATGGTGTTGGAGGAGAATATTAAAAGTGCCATGGGCTACCAAAAGAACCAGTAGATTCGTTTTGGAAGAAGTGCAGCCAGAGTGTTCCTTTGAGGCCAAGATGGCCAAACTTCGTGTCTCATACTTTGGACATATTGTCAGGAGGGACCAGTCACTGGAGAAGGATATCATGTTTGGTAAGGTGGAAGGTCAGAGAAAAAGAGGAAGACCCCCAACAAGATGGACTGGCCAAGTGGCAGCATCGATGAACTCAAGCGTGGCAACAGTAGTGAGGTTGGCCCAGGATCAGACAGTGTTTTGTTCTGCTGTGCATAAGGTCGCTATGGGTTAGTACCGACTCAATGGTCCCTAACAACAACAACAAGCTGGATTCAGAAAAGGATGTGGAATGCACGATTTCATTGCTGACATCAGGTGGATCTTGGCTATGAACAGAGAATACCTGGAAAATGTTTATTTGTTCTTTATTGATTATGCAAAGGTTTTGATTGTGTGAATCATGACAAGCTATGGACAGCATTGTGGAGAATGAATATTCTGGAATACTAGATTGTGCTCATGAGGAACCTGTACATAAACCAGAAGGAAGTTTTTCAAATGGAACAAGGGAACACTGAATGGTTTAAAATTAGGAAAGATGTGCACCAGGGTTGTATTATTTCTCCATACTTACTCAATCTGTATACTGAGCAAATAATCTGAGAAGCTGGGTTTTATGAAGAAAAAGGTGGCATCAAGCTATGAGGCAGATTCACTAATAATGCAGTTGATACAGCCTTGCTTGCTCAAAGTGAAGATGACTTAAAATACTTACTGATGAAGATCAAGGACCACGGCCTTCACTATGGGTTGCACCTCGACATAAAGAAAACAAAATGATCACTACTGGACCAGTCAATAGCATCGCCATAAATGGAGAAATGATTGAAGTTGTCAAGGACATTTTGCTCAGATCAACCATCAACTCTCATGAAAGCAGTAGTTAGGAAGTGAAATGGATGTGTTGCATTGGGCAAATCTGCTGCACAAGACCTCTTTATCATCTTCTAGAGCAAAGATGTCAGTTTGAGGACTAAGGTGCGCCCGACCCAAGACATGGGATTTTCAGTAACCTTTTATGCATGCAAGGTTGGACAGTGAATAAGGAGGAGCATAGAAGAATGATACATGTGAGTTATAGTGTTGAATATTACTGGAAGTACCACAGAATGCTAAAGGAACAAACCAATCTGTGTTGAAGAAGTACAGCCAGAATGCTCCCTGGGAGCCAGGGTGGCCAGACTTCATGTCTCATACTTCAGACATATTCTCAGGAGGGACCCAGGCAGGATATCATGTTTGGTATAATGGAGAATCACAGAAAAAGAGTAAGACCCCAGTGAGGTGGATTTGCAGCAGCAATGGGCTCAAGCCTGGCAACGATTGTGAGGTAAGAATGATGCTGGGATCTGGATTGGAATTGCGTTATTATCTATAGATTGCTTTGAGTAACATTGGCATTTTTATGATATTAAGTCTTCCTATCCTTAA